TAAAAGGAGCTTTCCGTGGAGTTCTGTGGCGAGCCTGAAGGCAGGCTCTTCTCCTGAGACTTATCACAATCTGTGGCAGTAATATCCAACACCCCCAGTGAGGACTGCCAGGCGCAGGTCAGTGAGGGAGCTCAGAAGGCTGGGGGGCAGGACTGGGGAGCAAGCTGAGTAAGGAAAGCAGGGCGGTTGGGTCCGGAGCCCCTGCTCCCAGGGGTGAGCCGGGATTGCTCTGACTCACTGCCCTGCCACATCATAACGCAGAGATGAGAACAGCCTTGGGTTTGCCCTGGGCTCGAGCCATTGCTGCTCAAGCATTTCTGGATTGCAGATGAATTCATGTTAATGAGGAGGCTGCAAATCACAGTGAACATCAAATCCAGTTCTGGAACGCCTGGAGTGAATATCTCACAACGACTGCCAACCTCTCTTTGTTTTTCATTTGCAAGCTACAAGGCAATAAAACAGGGAAGAAAAAAAAACCAACAAAACAACAAAAAACATTTCCTGTTACTGGAAAAACTCCTCTGTCCTGGCAGCAACCAGAGCTCAGGAATACATTACAACATTACAAACTGGTCAGTCCCTCTGGTCAGAGCGTTTGCTGCTCTTCAGCATCTCTGTCCTCATTTCCCATGCAAATATTGCTGTTGACCCTCTGTAGCTCCATGCTTATAACTGTTTGCACGTTCCTGATTTTCACAATAATCTCAGATGGTCTTTATTGAGTTTTCTCTTTGGAAACACCTCCAGGGAGGTGATGAGTCTGTGTAATGTCACATGCATAGCCTCTAAGGCAAAATATTGCTGATAATTACTCTCACGAGGAGTATGTCTTCTATGCAGAGCTCCTTATCAGGACATTTTCCTAGATGAAGTCAATCCTAAAGAGCAGTAAGAGAGCTATGCACCAGTGCAGTCCTACAGAAGGCCTCCAGAATGAGAGCAGTACCCCAGCCTTGCTGAATCTACAAAAATATCTTTGAATTCAATTACAGCCATAGCCAGAACAGAGCCCATAGAGACTAGTAAGTGAATCCAACTAATTCTCTCTCCCCCTTCTCTCCTGACATGCTCTGCAATGGCTTTCTTCAGAAACTTGAGTTCTGCAGACATGGGGCGCCAGACCATGAGGAATTACCCTGGCTTGATCGATTCAGTTATGACTTACGCCCAGAACTGCGTGGCTTCTAACCGACCCGATGATAAGGTACCAGATGCTCACCCCGAGCTGTTTGCTAGAATTCAGCCCCGTAGTTAATAATTGCAATTTTGGGAATATCTCAAAATCCCTTTCAAACAAACAAAAGAGGGGACTGGACTCTTTGTGGCTGCTCTTGTCCTTCCAAATCCCAGTGCGATCTGTTGTAGGATTGCAAGTCCTCTGTGCTCTGGGCCTGAAGTAGAGGTGGGTTTTACAATTTCCCTTTAACAAACACAGAAACACAGCAAAATATTTCAGCTCCTGAGCCCCCAAAATGCTTTCCCCGCTTCCCCTCCCACTTTGGGATCCTTCCAGCATCTTAACCCCCATCCCTTGCTCTTCCCACCACCACATCTCTTCATCCAGCAGGACTCAAGTATATAAGCCCCAGATTGGCATCACATCCAGCAAGAAGCCAGGAGCTGGCATCTTTCTGCCAGTCCCCTAACTGTGACTCTGATTGCTATGTGTAAAAAGCACTTACCTTTGACAAAATAGTGTTTATAGCCACATTTTCAGGAGTTCTGCAAATGTGATACTAGCCAGATGCCCTAAAGTCCTCAATGCCCAGCAAAGTACAAAAATTATTTCAAATGAGCTCAGGATTGAGCAAATCCTCTATTGGGGACGGCTTTTGCAAGAAGACCAGTTTCAGCAGCACACACTGAACACAGCTCTTTGGAAATGTAGCCACATGTTTTGGTCTTGGTTACAGGTATCTAGTGAAAATTGTCCCTTGCTCTTTACATTGGGCACTCTGACATCCAGGTAAAGGAGGCTTAAAAGCCTGTTCTTGGTAAAAAATGTCCCCTAATCTGTAGATGTGACTTGGACAAAGTCATTGGAAATTGACTAAGGCAAGAGGAAGACTTTCAAGATTTGGCATTTCATGGTGAGCAGTTTGGTATAACCACCCTCTGCACTCATGCTCTCTTTTCCTGTTTACCAACTTGTCTGTGGCAGTGGGAACTCAGGTTCATTGAGTCAGTCAGCTCACTCACATCCACGGTATAGCATTTGGGCTATGTGGCCTTCATTCATGTCTACTCTACCTCCTTCTTCCTTCCCGCCCATTGCTACCTTAAGCAGGGTCAGGAGCTTATACAGTATAACTGCTAAAAAAGCCAATTATGGCATGGTATATGTCCTCTCTGAAGCTATAGCAGGTGCTGCTCCATATTTTTCTGCCTAATGTGATGCTTGCATTTTTATTCTGGGGGTGATTTCAGTCTGTGGAGAATTGCATCTGCATCCTGCACAACCTCTCCTACCGCCTGGATGCCGAAGTTCCCAACAAATACACCCAGCTCAACCACATGGCCCGGAGCGTTTATATGGACAAAACTCTCACAGGCTGCTTCAACAGCAGGAGTGGTAAAATGGAGGTAAGATGTGCCGCAGAGGGCTTGGAAATGTGATATTCAGCCCCAGGCAGGCTGCAAGCAAGGAGCAGGATTTGAGCTTCCAGTTTCTCATCTCTTTGTAGAATGACGAGTACGGTGTCCCCCTTCCTGAGGAGGATTTTAAACCCAAAGGACCCAGCTGGCTCTACCACTCTGATGCCATCCGCACCTACCTGTCCCTGATGGATCAGAGCAAGAAGGATGCCACCCTGGAAGCTTGTGCTGGAGCCCTGCAGAATCTCACTGCGAGCCGAGGGCTGGTAAGCGCTCCTTTCTCCTCTGCGCACAAGCTCAGCCAAACATGTCAGCACCCTACAGTAAACAGAAAGGAAAATATCCTCCTTAAACCTCAGGGCACTATTGCAAGTCATTCCACAGTGGATGCTGCAGCTGAGGTATTTATTAATGCCAACAATAGGGTCTCATGGAGAGCTATAATCAGCATCCCAAGGGTCTGTCCCAGATCCATACACTTTCCAGGGGTTCCTCCAGGTCGATCAGACTGCCAGCACCTACTGCTGCTGGCGCCCTCCCCCAGGACACCAGTGAGGATGTGCACAGATGTGCACATGTGGACAGATGTCATTAAAGGAGAGAGAAAGGATGTGCGTGCACCACCACCTGTGTGTGTTTTTTAAGTGGGAGGTGGCTCTAATGACAGGGTGGGTTGGTGCTGTGGATTGTGGCTTGTCCTCACATCACAGCTGCTTGTAAAATAGCTCTGATAGATGTCCTAACCAGTAGGTATGGCAGTGTGGAGGTGACACATGCTGCGTGACGCCGTGGGTATTGCAGGAGCTAGGGCACGGCGAGGGTCACGTCACGACAGCAGTTCTGCTGTGCCCAATATCGCTACCGTGGGCATGTCCTCACAGGCTGCGTTCACGTGGACAAACCTCGACTTGTCTGTTTGTGTCAAACTTCATCAATTCCAATTTAAATAAGATGGCTAGGAAGATAAAGAGATAATTATTTCATACGTAGGAGAGGCGTGTCACGTGTGTGAAGCGTTCCACCCAGAAACACGGAGTGACTCACGAAAGGAGCCTTCACTGCTAGGACACCATTAACCTGCCAGCTCTGATCTCCTGGGAGCTTTTGTTGCCAGTCTTTCAATGTGAAATACTTTGGGAACCTTTTTTTTTTTTTTTTCCAGTTTAACTAAATAGTGGCACTAACAAGGTGGAGAGAGGCTGTTGCAGTATGGGTAGAGGTGATCAGAGAAATGGGGCTGGAGCTATGTGCTCCGTGGAAATGAAAAGGCTTTCAGCAATCAAGATCATTACACAAGAATGTCTCTTGGGCAGGGGGGAAGAAAACAAACAAACAAAACCCAGCTCTGACAGTGTTGAAGCAACACATTTCAGCCTCCTGGAAGGAATTTGCCTGGATGTGCAGAAGTGGCTTCTTTTTTCAAGGGTCTTATTCCAGCTCAGAGCTGGAGTTGGGGTGGGTTGCTGGGTTTGCTGTCACTTGAAGGAAAAGGAAGCTGGGGACAAACTTACAAAGCTTACTAGAACCCTTTAGCTTATAGAGGAGAACTCTGAATCTCTTCTCAGACTCAGCTTTACACATCCCAGTCCTGCTGGTGTGAATCTGTAACTTGGCACATGTGCCTCCTGGGGCATGGGAGGGAAATTGGGTCTCAGCCCACTGGAAGAGGGTTGACTTCCAGCCCGTTCCCTCCATCCCCATGTCACTGTTGATGGACATGTGTCACTGGTGGTGCAACAATCTCCAGCAGCCTTTCTGGTGGGGCAGTAGCTGAGAAGTCCAGTTTAAACTCTGTCAATAAGAGGGCAATTTATTAAGGGTATGTGCTTCAACGTCCATGAACACTCATCCGCATTGGCTACGTCCTGAGATCTTACAGATTTACACAAGCAAACATGAGATCAGGATCCAAGATGAGTATTTTTGGTCTTCAGCTTGTTTTTTAAAGGTATCATTAGCTGTTCCTGTTCCAAAGCAGCCTATTACCTGTGGCATGGCAGGGCATTGTGAAGGGCAAGGGCAACATGGACAAGAAGGTAAAACTTCTCCAGCTTTTGGGAATATCAGTTGGGTGAGCAACTCAGGCTCCAGAAAGAGGACAGAAGTACTAGTCATATCACAGAAGATGAGAAACTGACTTTGCAAATGTCTGTGGAGAAGAGGGGTAAATGACAAAGTAAGTGGAATTATGGTAGCAGAAGAAGGTATTATACAGATGCTTATTTTATAGTGTAGTCATGTTTGTCTGGTCCCGTACATCATTCCAGTTTTGTCGTCCCAGCATTAGAAGTCATGAGACATCTCTGTTCTATTTTCCAGATGTCCAACGCAATGAGCCAATTGATTGGTTTGAAGGAAAAAGGTTTGCCTCGCATAGCACGGCTCCTCCAGTCCAACAGCTCTGAAGTTGTCCGGTCTGGGGCTTCTTTGCTGAGCAACATGTCCCGGCATCCTGTTCTCCACAAAACCATGGGTAAGTAATTTCCACCACAGTGGATTCCAGAACAATGTCTAATTTCTAACTCTGTAACATCTGCCCACCTCGCTTTGTAAACACCATAATAGGACTTAGCCAAGCTCCGAAATTGGGCAAAGCAGTGTCATTTCTTCTGGCCAAAAGGACAATTACATGTGATATCTGCAGGCTATCTGTGCTATCTCAAAGTCTCTACAAGCATGGGGTATGCTTTATAGACAATGGCAAAACTGCAGCATCATGAGGATGATAGTTTTTGGGATCTGAGTTGGACTTGACTATCCATGACCAATATCATTGCCCTTCCAGAGGCCTGCAGCACTCATTTTGTCTCTGAAAATCAAGTAGTGACTATTATGCCATTACTGTCCAACATTATTAGTGCCTCCTTCCAGAGATAACACTGCATTCTTGCATTGAATAGTGCTAACAAAAGTAGTGTCATTCACTTGTGCTAGGTTTTATTTAAATGTTGATGGGAACATTCCACCTCTTTAGCTCACCAGGTGCTCCCAGATGTATCACGTCTCCTGTCATTCCAGTCTGGAAATACCAACAGCTATGGCGAGATCATGACATCAGCTTGTTACACTCTGCGGAACCTCATCATGTCCAACCCACACCTGGGAAAGTCTTACTTGACAAGCAACATGCTAAATAATGTAGTAAGCCTGTGCCGAAATGGGTGAGTTTGGGGCAGAAGGCATGGAGAGGGTCATGCACAGGCATTTCTGAGCCCATGCACTCTGTGCAAAGCCAGATTAATCCCAGAGTCTTCCCAATACCCTTCCGAGCCATAGTAAACCATTATTCTTTCCCTGTGCTTGTAAATTGAGAAAGCCAAAAAAATTCCAACATGTTGGTAGACACAAATCCTCAACACTGGTTTCTTGGAAACAGGCATGAGTCATCCATGGTGGGATTTGTAAAGGGGCCTCAGGAAATTTGCTGGCTGAATTTTAAGAAATTCTAAACAGAACTGAAGGACCAACATCTTAAACACTGTTAAAAATTCCAGCCATCAAAACAGGGGATGTCAGTAGGCAGCCTGACTGATTAGCACCCGGACTTCCCACTCACAGCTTCCTGCAAACCTTATCATGAAGGTCAGGTCTGAGATTCAAGCACCACTGATATAATGGGATTGTGCTCAGCTTTAATGTTCAGATTTGTTCATCTTACTGTTGGAACATCCACCTCAAGTGGCAAAGATGGAGCTGTGATGAAGCATATATATATAAACATATATGTATATGTATTTATAAATACCTCCCCTGGTCTACTCACATATATTTTACAACAACTGAGCAATCCCAACATATTTTACCACTTTTTCTTTTAGGATTTGGTTTGAGTTTTGATGGTAGTAATTCTGTCCTGCTTGTTATCCATCCTCTGTACAGCCCTGTGCAAAAGCTTGTCAATCCTTGCCAAACTATACGTTCATTTCTGGCCAAACTGTGTTAAACTTACATAGTCTTTGACCATGTATTCTCCTTCCTAGACTTTCATCTCTCCTATCGTTTGTCTTTGTTTTAAAATACCTTATTCAATTAACCTATTGTTTTCTGTTGTGAAAAGACATTCACACGCCTTCTCCATCATCCTTTGATAAACCACTTACAATCTACCACTTGTTTCATGACAGCAGAGAGACTCTCAGTCATTAGAAGTGGCCTCCTTCTTTAGTTTGGACCTCAGCCAACTAACATTGGTCAGTTTGCTGCCTTTGTATGCTTCCACTCTTCAACAAGCCCAATTAACATGAAACCCAGCCCTCTTCTAAGTCTTCGTTGTTTTGAATGGTATTAACTTCTGCCTAATGTCCCGCTTTGGATCCCTCAGACCGGTTGTCAGCTAATTTACTACTTCAGCAAAGTGTTGCACAACTGGGGTTGTGCGTAGCTTAATTGTCTTGACTGTTTTGTGTGATGAGCTTTGTTTGCAATGACTCACTAGGCTGCGAGGAGTTACTAAATTCTGGAGATGTGTGTTCCTCCTGTCTGTATCACAAATTCCTTCTGAAAACTCACCAGTTCTTACAATGTCCAAAACTTGAATTATTCCTTTTACTCCATTATTCTTTCTGTCCCCAAAGATTTTTATGCTGTTCCATTCTTATGAAAAAATAATAATTTACATCCAGAAGTAATCTTACTTACTCAAGCCATATCATTTCAGACTGTTCCCATAGAGCAGATGTGAAAGAGATCTCCACTCTAGTGAACTGGACCCGTAAGTTCACAAATTAGCTGACTTTTCCCACTTTGTGTGTAGTCTGTGAAGATAAACAGGACATTTAAGGGTGGGATTTGTCCAGTCCTACATCAGAAAGAGCCTCACCCACTCCCTCATGGTAATAACTAGATCCAACACCTCTACTGGGGGCTGTTGCCTGGGTTGGATGCAGACCCCATGCTCCCCACACTGATGCTGAGTGTGGTGAGTCCCACGCTATCGACCTCCTCCTCCCCAGCACCACAGAAACAGAGGACAGAGGAGGTCTCAATGGTGACCAAATCACCGTGGAGAACACCATGCCATGTTGCACCTTGTCAGTATTTCGCAGAGTTTTCTCTGTTAATCTGCCTCAGTTTCCCCATGGACACACTTCCCTCACCTCCAACCCCAGCTGGTTTGGTCGGCATGTCTGCATAGTGACTCCGTGGCACGTGCTTCTTCTGCCACCCAACAAATGTTTCTTTACCTATATCTTTTAACTGGTCTCTTGTATTTGAAGCTGTAAATCATTAGTTTAACATGCTCGAACATTTTTGTATTCATGTTTTAGAAAGAGCTTCCAGGTTACAGACGAGTAAGCTATGAATCTTTTCCTTTCCCATGTTCTTCCCACATGCCAACCAGCCCTCCTCAAAGCTGAGGTTTCTTTTTCTGGATGTGTTTTTGTAGCTGTATTCTGAGTGAAAAGCATCAACAGTTCAGCAGTTTATCTGATAGCTGTGGTTTCTTCTCCTTCCTGGAGCATCCCAACTCAATAATTGCCTCCGTCTCCTGCATCTATCCTCATCTATGACACAGGCTTCATAGTGATGATGGTGTTCATTCACTCTTCATTATTTTTAATTCAAGTTGCCAAAATATTGAATATTACCTTCTTTTTTTGTTGGTGTTTCTGAAAATCAAGCTATTGTTACTGATTTATTGTGATGTCTGATGTCCTTTTCACCTTTCTTCTCTAACTGTCTGAAAAATATTCCTCTGTTCATTTTCAAGCAACATTATTTCACTGATAAAATTATCATTTTTCTCAAGAATTCTACTGGCTGCACTGAAAGGTTTTCTCCCAAATCTCTTTCAGTAACTTTAGAGCATCAGGTTTGCGGTTTGTCTCACAATCCCTTTATCACTGATTTCTTTCAGTTTCTCTTTGTTCATTCACTTTTCACACCTTTTCTGTTATACATAATTTTCTGTTATATATAATTTTGCAGTTTAATTCTACCATAACATTTTACCAAAATTAATCTTTCAAGGAACTCAAGTCTTTCCTTGATTCTTTTCCGTGGAATAGAGTTCTTCTCATCCACACATTTTCCAATTTCCCATTTCTTCCAAAGATTGCACCTTGATATCAATTTTATAAACTCATGCATCCTGAAGAAGTCCTTCTTCCAAGAATTCCTTTGCATCTGCTGTGACGTACATAACATTCTGGATATTTTTGTCCTTTGAGGAAACATTATTTCCCCCCATTATTTGATATGCATGTACAAAAACCTTGTCTTTTGTGCTGCCCTCATGCTTCCCCCCAGCCTCACCATCTCCTTCTGATTAGGGTCTTGTTTGTGTTTTGTGGTGTCAATAGTTTTTTGGATGACTGCTGCCACTGCTACCAGTGGACATCTTTGTGTTGTCTTTCCACAATTTTTTACAAATAATTCTACCTGTAAAAACCAGACTGTCTTTAAAATCAACTTTGATTTTCATGTAACCTATTTTTAAGGAAGTTTTTCCCCAAATCAGCTGTCCTTGATATTCTACTCCATGTTCTACACTGCTGTAGTCACAAACTATTCCCAGCACTTTTGTTTAGGATATGCTACTTTACATATTGAAGTTGTCATCACAGCTCCATCAGTTCATGTTTAATCATTTTATACCTAAATAGTAGCAGTAGATGCCCTATGAAACAGAGACAGTATCAATCCTTCAAGTTAAGAGTGGACAAATTCTTTTGTCTGAATTTGGAAATGGCTCAGATGCCAGATGCTGGTAACTTTGGTTTGAAAAGAAAAATTCTTTTGAGGTGTGCTCTGAAGTCACAATGGCAAAAAGTACGTATTTGGCATCACTAGAAGCAAATCATAAAAAAAAAGATAATTACTTTAGCTTAGAAAGAGAGAAACAACATGAAACAACATATTCTTCAAGAAGAATGTCAAAGGCATGCACTGACCATCTAATCATAGATACCTCTGGGTTTATTGGTTTTTAATGGCTTTTTAACCACAGACAATTTTTCAGCCACAAAATTTTTTTTAAACATAGTCATTCTGGTGACAGAGCATAGGACGGTTATAACCAGAGAAGTGATTAATAAAACCTAATTCTCCTGTCCCAAAACATTGCTCAAGAATTTCCGATTATCCACAGTTCCCCCAGTCCTCCAGCAATACCAACCTGTGTGAGCTGCACAGTCCCTTTGGAGCTTATGACCAGGCTAAATTTGCTAATTTGTTTTAGGCTACAAGATCTTTGGTAACAACTGCTGTGTATATTAGAGAAATGCCCCAAAATTTATTGAATACGGTTACATTCCTGTCCTTTCACACTCAGTGTATGGTGCTTGCAGGTCCCAGGTTGTTCCTGATGACCACTGCCAGTCCCATTTCTCACAGTCTGACGAGGACTATTTTGAGGACACAATGTTTTGTGAAGCTGTATCGTACAGGGAGGGTCCTGAGTCTGGTCTCGTACCTCTCCATCACCCTGGCTGAGACAGGATGGGGTGGTCGCACTGAACCCAGATCAGGAGTCTCCCACAGGCAGGACAAGGTCCAGCAGATCAGGAGCAGCGATAAGAACCAGCAAGGAGGTTTATATCTAGGTTGTCGTATGAAATGTTCCAAAATTATAAAAGGTACTGCTATGACTCACGGTTTCGGAGCTGTTACGTGGGCAAGTATCTATTAACTTGTGCTGAGTAAGGACTTATGGTTGCAGATGTTGTTATTACGAATACTCCTGTCTCCTCTGTCCTCGCCAGGCAGCACGGAGCCCGTTCCTCTGCTGCCCTCCCCAGTGACTCGCCCACACCGTCCCCACAGACTCCAGGGAAGGGTTGGCACCATTTCCATTATCTTTCCCTCTCCCAGATTTCACACTCCAGAAACACTCCTTCAGCTCAGTTTAATGCCCATTTTCCCACTCGGATCCTCCCCTCTTTCAGTTGTCCTGTTCTGGTCCCAGAGGTTGTTGTCACGTAACATTGCTGAGAGAGCAAGGACGGTTTTATTGACAGTCCTCCATCAAGTCTAGCCAGCCTCCCAGCTGGAGCTGCGCTTATTTAAAGGCTGTGGTTAATGCATGCAGGTTGCTGCTCTGTGGCCTGCCATAATTCACCGGGGTTGCTTTCATCTTCCCAGCTCCTGTCCAAAAGCGGCCGAAGCTGCTCGCCTCCTCCTGACAGATCTTTGGTCGAACAGGGAGCTCCAGAGTGTGCTCAAGCAGGTAAGGAAAACGCTTCTGATTTTCGGCTGACAAGAACAACCCTGGTCTTGACTCACTGGCTGAAGTCGGTGAGTTTGCAAAGGCCATGATTCAGCAGCGAGTACGGGCAGGGGCTGGGAGGAGCCCAGGGCACTGGGAGGACCACGATGCTCCCAGCACACGGGCACCCGCCTAAGATCTGAGCAAGAGGCAGCGAGTCGCAACCGCAGCTGGCGGGACTGACTTTAGGGACTCAGTGGACAGCGGCGTGCCTGTGTCGGGCAGCTTGCACCCTGGGGATGACGCTAGCTTAGGTGGGCTCTTCCATGATGCTCCTGGGGTCAATGCTGTCGTGTCTGCACAGCATTGCTCTCTGCTGGGAACAGACCTGGACGTTTCGCACAAGCTTGGGAGATTCCCTTCATTGCAGTCCATCATGTAGGATCAGCGTGTCCCAACAGATCCCTGGCAAGGTTCCTCCTCTCTTCACCCCCGTTTTCTTCTGTGTCCATAACCCTACCCTGTGGTTACATCACCCCTACAGTCAGGGTAATCTTTTCAACCAAGAGGAGGAGTTTTTAGGATTTGTTTTGCTCCCTGCAACAGAAACTCTGAAAGCGCAGAGCCAGACGGGGCGCCGAGCCAGCTTCCAGCTCCCAGTGGCTTGCTTTGAACAAGCTGGGTTTTTCCAACTCAACAGCAGCAGCACCTGCAGAGAGTAAAGGGCCAAATTAAAGAGAAGGAGTAACATCCACAAAGGGGAATACCCCAGGGGCAGGAAAGTAGAGAGTACCTAAATACCATTCTTTTATTAACAGTTAGGGACTTTCTCCATAGGAGCTTGTGTAGCTTTGCGCCAGGCTCTGCTCAGGAGCCTGTGCCAACTCATTTTGATGTGACTGAGTCACTCCTGTGTTCACAGATGTTCATTGCACAGGTACACCTCAGACGAGAAGGATGGGAGTCTGCAAGGATATATGCATCATGCATATATCTTTGCCATTTTTCCAGGGTGAGGAATAAGATGAAATAGTGTTCAGTGATGGATTAAGTAAAGGTTTCCTCTGGTAAAGCTGGAGAAGTCCAGCTCTTGGCGGATGGAAAGCAATGCAAGGAAGATGAAGTCCATCAATAAGGGTGACGGTTCATGTGTCGAAGGCACACAGAGGGAGGACAGAGGAGGTTGGTTGAGAATGAAGCATACTTTTTAAGGGGAGGACAGCTGTTGAAGTGGGGCAGGAGGCTCTCTCTCACAACAATAGATAGCTGTCAGTTTTGAAACCGATATGCACTCACTGCTCTTCGTATACATCTTTCAGCAAGGGTTTGATAAGAACATGATGGGATCTTTAGCAGGAACAACCTTCAGGACCCTCTCCTCCAGATTTTAGGAGCCTCTCCATGCACGTTCAGGCTGCAGGTGAGAACGGGGCCCTCATGCCTGGGCAAGGGGTGGCTTTGAGGGCAAAGGAGCAGTGCGTGATCCCCATGAGCTTTTTGCTATTTTTAATCTCCCCTAATGTGGGTTTGTGAGATTTTCATCACGAATCCTATCAGCCCAAAATGCAAAGTATTTGTTTCGATGAAAAGTCAGAAGTTGTGCTGTTCCTGCGTTCAGTGCAGATGTTGCATTTTAGACATGCTCTGCGCAGATGCCATAGGACAGACAGAGCTGCTGGACTTGACTACGCCTCTTGTGTCTTACTTACTTACTTTGCCAAGCAGTAACTGATTGCGTTTTGCCAAATGCTCTCAGGTGGGGCTTTTCACAGGAATCTCTCTGACTTACATTCCTGAATTTTGAATAATGTTATCCAGATAGTGTCAGTAACGCGCAATTAATTCCAGCACATGCTATGGCATTAAGCATCACCCTTAGGGATTTTTGAGCACTTAATAATCTACCCATAAGCCTCATGTCAAAATTTGGAACTACAGGCTGACATCTGAATAATCCCAATAGAGAAACCAGGTTAGAGAAATCATGGGCAGAATTTCCAGGGCGTCGTTATGATTTTTTATTCAGTGTGAAATGAGGCTTGAATCTGTAAGGTAGTTTTGATTGATAATTCCCATTGAAGGGAAAAGCGTTAAGCAGTTCTGCACTTTTCAAATATCATATCTCTCTATGATGGGGATTGAGATTATTCAGAATTAATGATTTGCTCCCTTCCCCAACATGTTCTTTGCAATCAGACTAAGCCCAGTCCTGATGTAGGAGAAAATGCTGCAAAAGCCCATTTCTTTCCTCTGCCCAGGTGTGGATTTCACTTCTTGCTCTGTTGGGATGTTTCCACTGAGACTCAGAGGAGCATGGAAGTCTAGGGGAAAAAGCTATGGGCAGTACAGAAACTGGGTACAGGCCAAGAAAAAAAGATTAGAAGTTGGTTTTGAATGTAACAAAAATATTTCTTGAATGCTTTAATTACTGGAGGTTTTGGTTTTTCTTTGTTTTTCTCCATTTCAGAATTTGGAATTGGTTCATGTCCAGGAAGACAACCCTTTCACAATTACTTAGGATGTTAAAGATGTAGAGTGTTTCTGAGTTTAACTCAACTGTAAAGCAAACTAAACATATGGATTTCATGTGGATGATACTGATATTTTTAAACATTTTCTTCTTTTTAGGGGGAGAAGGGACTTTTATTGAGGTTATAAGTTCTTGATGTCAATAATTATTTTTTTTTGCAAAGAGTGTGTCTGTGTAACTACGTACATGTCGCTGTGTATGTGTGCATGCAGGCAACATACATGCGCACATGTGGTGAGTAGGATCTTCCTACAGGTTTAGTGCCCTGTCTTCCACTGAAAGTCGGTGTGAGTTGTGCAGTTTAACCCCCTTACAGAGTTTTGTCCTATTTCACCTGATCCATGCACCAAATACTGCCACAGTAAAAACTTGTCACAACCTATTTTTACCCACAAGCATAAAAATTGCCAATTTTAGGTTGAGTCCCCCCATCGCGTATGGCCTTTATAAACAGATACACCAACGATACTCCTCTTTACAAAGTCTGGTTATTCCTAACGTTTATGAATACGGGTTTCTTTTCTGCTTATGAATTTTTCTCCAATGAGCTCTTATAGTTATTAGTATTTTCTTTCCTGTCACATGAACTCTTTATCTCAAGAAGCAAATTGACATCTGCAAATTCTCTCCCGGGTCTCAGTAACCCTTCTCTGAAGCTCTATGTGAGGGGACAATTGCAACACATCTGCAGAGCATGAATATTACTGGGTCCCGAACCATTCTGAGTGCCGGAACAACTCAATCTCGTGACTGTACCTGGACAAATGTGGCATTTGAGAAGCTGAGCTGGAGACAGGCAAAGCGTTTTTCCCCTGGGATCACTGACTGCCACACAGGACTGAAAAAAGTGAGGGATGTGGCCTTTTTAATCACATTTTTTTTTTACTGATCAATGTAGAGACATAATATTAATATGCAAAGGAATGTAAGCACTTGTGTGAAGTCAGGTGTGGAAATATTTTATTTCTCGGTATCTTTAATTACATGATCACTCTGTGATGCTAAGGCTGTAATAGGGGACTGCTGAGCTCATTTTAGGGCAACCGACTCCTTATGACAGTAACCGTGTGATGAAAGAGGCTGATACTCCTCTCTCCAGAAAGAAATATCCTCTATCCGTCCCTGCAGGGGATGCAACTCAGATCCACAGGGAAAGGACCAGCTGAGGATGCCTTTGCTGGCTGTCCCACACACACAGTTATTGCTGCTTCAAACTGTGCAAGGGCACAGGACCCAGTTTTGCAAATATCAGGGGTGCAGGGGGTGCTTGGGAAGGACAAATTATGGAGCTGAGTCTAGAAAGGGAAAAACGGTCTCATTTTTTGCGAGTGTTGGACTCCTCAGTTGATGGAAATCAGCATGTCCCCATTCACTTCACAGAAATGGGGTGATTCGTGCCCACTAGAGAACCGTCCACGAAGTTCAGATTTGCTCTGACACAGCTCTAGACCTAAGAGACACGGTGGCACTCGTTCGTCCCCCGTTTAGGCTGTAGGGAGCACGTGTCCACAGAGGGAGATATTTTCCGGCTGGTTTTTCTCTTGGACTACAAAGGGTGGCTTAATCTTGTGCACTTTAATGAGCAGCAACTATTTGCTTGCCTTCACCCACATTCAGTCGAGAGCTTTCTGCGCAGAGCTGCCAGCCAAATGAGAGAGAAAAAAAGCACCTTTGAAGTGGAGAGCTAGAACCGGGAGAATCCGGTAGGACAGTTTCAGGAGCATTTAAACAGCAGCAAAGGAGCCCCAGCCCGTGGGCATGCCCCTGCCATACCTGCCAGCTGTTACCTAGCTGGATGTATATTCTCAGATGCACGGTTCAAAATGTTTTTGGCAGGACCCGAGACTATGGATGTCCAAAATGGCTGCAGTATCCACAGGCAGGATTGTTACAGTTTTGGTGTAAAAGTATGTTGTGTGCAATTTTGCATTCAGGTCTGTTCCTGTAATTACATGTTCAACAGAAGTCCTGGGAGCTAATGTTTTTCTCTGTAAAATTAATTGGGGAAACCTAGCTACAAAATGTAATGATGGAATATTGAGGAAATTCATTCTAATTGGCTGTTATTTAAGCTTTATTTTAAAACACTGCTGCTGCTGCTTTCACCGGTAATGTGATTTACTGAATCACTATATAAGGCACAAAGAGCTGTAGCTATATGCTCATCTCACAAATTTACAAGTACTGGAGATTTCATTAGTGAGTATGAGACTCAAAGAGACTGATACATCATTCCCATAAATTTTATGAAGTACAGCAAAGTTGTTTTTCTGAAGCTAATAAAATGATAAAAATAAAATCTGTCTCCATCCTCAGAGATCTTCAAAACATGACTGGGCACAGCCCTGAGAAATCTCATCTGGCTTTGACATTATCCCTGCCTTGAGCTGGGCAGACCAGAGACATTCCTTCCAATCCAATTTTTTTTATGATGCTGTATGTTACTGCTTTCATACCTCAAAATATAGCTAACTCAAGAGAGCAATGGGTATTGTAACCGCTCTGCCATCCCAGGGCTATTTTGCAGCTATTTCTTGCCCTGGAAATTCTCTGATACTCAACTCTGTTTTCCTCTCGGTTTCTCTTTTCAAAATCTGCACTACCGACTCTACCCAAGTCAATGAAGTGACACTGATGCCCAATTGTGAGAAAAGAAAGGAAAATCAGACTTATTGGAGTAACTGGTGTTGCTCATAACCAGCAATGAGGTTCCCTCCATTATAAATGGATGCTGTTTGCACCTCAAATACATATTTTTTCATTCTAGGGAGGTATCATTTCTTAAAGGCATGTTTTTAACTGCAACATCCTCTTCGATGAGCTGTTTTCCTGTTTCTTTAAGAGCCAAGGTAGGGCACACCCCCAGTGATACAGGTCTACAGCACATAGCACGTGCCCTGGTCGTAGTGATGGAGAATTACCGAGGAGGGAAGGACCATAGCTAACAGCACCGTTAGCTCTGCCGGCAGCAGAAATAAGAGCAGTTGGGGCCTGATTTGTGCGCGGGACACACAACCATGTAAATAAATGCCATACTTGTTTGTCCTGGGCTTAGCAGAGCTTTTTGGTCTATTTTCTCATGAATGCTTTGTTTGTTTTGTGTATGTACAATCCAACCCACCCCAGCATTTCAGAAGCCTCATGGACAAGTAGAAGGCAGTAGGCAGTTTTATTCCTCTCTGACCACACACCAGTTTGAGACCGACTTAGCCTACCAGTCCATAGCTATACAGTGTATTCTGTAAGATATAGGTATGTGAGAATAATGTATCAGAGTTTTGTTTTGGCTGTACTGTATGTATTTGCTTCATTGGAAAAGCTGAAATCAATAAAAATTACTGGAATTTCTTCAAGCTTCCTGTTTTGAATGATTGTATTTTGGTTGTCTTGACAGTGTTAGGAAAGAATAAAGCATCTCTTTGAAAGGTTTGTAAATGCCTGTTATCCTGCAGCAGTGATCAGTCTGGACTGCTCTGCCTTGTGCCAACACGAGGAATGAAGCTGTAAATCATGTTTCCTCCACCATTACATCCTTGGCAAGCTTCAGTGGGTTTCTCTCCAATGAGCTTTTACAATCACCACTTCAATCCATGAAAAAATTAATTATCAATAGCATCATTTGTGCCACTGCTCTATGGATCCACAGCTTGTTGTGTGGAAAAAAACCTCCACACCTTAGTTTCTTCTGAACCTGGCTCATGTGAACTGTGTTTGAAGCTCCCTAGGTCTTATATTTAAAAAGTGTGACGAGTTGATCCTCCCCAGTTTCTCTTTGGTCCAGGCTGGAAAGTCCCAGCTCACAGATCTGAGACAGAGCCATCGGCTCATCATGAGCGATGACCTTCTCTGAACCTTTACCAA